TCCTTTCCCCAGGCCAGAACTGGGATTCCCATTGTTTTCTGTTCTTCTAGGGCAGGAGCTGTGAGGCACCACCAAAGCATAGAACACAGGTGGGGCAGTTGTGACATTTTGTCTCCCCTGACCAAGCTGTTTAGTTGGACAATCTCCATTTGCAAGCTGGTGTGTGAATGTTTAATGGAGCTCTCTGGAGCTGCTCAGGTAAGGAGCAATGTGGCTTTGTGCACAGGCAGAGCTGCCTCTGCACATTCTTTGTCTCCCTCAGCTCTCCTGCAGGACTTGGCCTCTCCGATGAAGCACAGCACATTCTCATCTGCGCCCCTGCTACCTGCTCAGCCCACTTTGTACCTCAACAGTAAATTAGTCTTTATTATCTTATTTGATAGTTTAATAAAATGCTTTGAACCACTGGCATATTAACTGCAATCAAGTTTTGAAAGGTCTCTAGTTGGTAGAAAGAAATTAGTCTGATAAATCCCTCTTTTTAATAAATGAGTACTTTTCCATAAGCAAGCTCAGAAACTGTCATTTGAGAAGCTTTTCCCCTCCCTCTTTTTTATTTTCATTTTAATATATTACACGATTGTTCTTAAAGAACTCATTTTTTTGCCTTAAGAGATTAACAGTCACTGAAGTATAAGCAGCTTGTAAACCCACCCTGTCTGTCTGCCTCAGCCAACCTTGTAGTGATCAAGCAGTGGCCTATGAATTGTACTCCAAAATGATGATAACTAATGGTGTGACCTGGGATCACTGCCTGCCTTGCTGTGCCTTTGTTTACCTGTTTGCCTAAAGAAGCATTACCATCCCTGGGTCGAAAAGGCCTGTTAAACTTCAGCAAGGAGCTCCCAGATAATTATAGTTACTAAGTAACTTCCACCTCAGAGCAAACTGGTTGAGGCTGCTAAGAAATGTTGTGGCTTCCCTTTTGGTCAAAATCAGCAGCTGACCTGAAGGTACCTCCAGTTCTCAAACCTTTAAACAGAGTCTGCACTCAAAAGTACAGCTGAGGAGCTGGAACAAATTGCTGTATCCCTTATGTGCTGGGTCTGAAAGGGACCCCAGAAATGCACACTGACCCTGATTTCACACCACAGCTACAGATGTGCTAAGAACTTAATATGCTCTGTCTACTGAAGAAAAGCAAATGCTAGCACAAACAACTGTGACACTGGATTCATCTTGCCTTGGGCATATTTATCCAGGGTATTGCCATTACATCATTCACATTAGGCTTTTATTATCTACTATTTTAGGTCTTAGCAGCTGCTACAAGCTCTAGTCAGAGGTCAAGATGCTGTTGAACTTCAGATCTTTTTGAAAGAAGAGCATAATTCTACCAACAACAATGTTAGATTTGCAGCAGTGCAATATCATACAAATAACAAAAGATAATTTAATCTAATTTTTTAAATGAGGTTTAATTGCAAAAAAGTTATATACTGCATGTTAAATTACATCTGGAAAAGGCTACCATAACTTCATCTTTGAGAACTAAATAAAGTAATTTTGGGCTTTTTCATTATATCAGAAAAGACTAAAAATTCTTTAAGAACAATTTCCATCATCTAAATAAAATAATACTGAAATATCTGCTGTAGTTTGTGGTAACTGCATAAAACATGATGACACTATTCTCCTTTATTTTTCCTCTGTGTGCAGTGCTGACCTTCATGAACTGTTCGTCACAGTGTGTAATTACATTCCTTTCACCTAAACTATTTCTACATATTTTCAATTTCTATTTGCCAAAGCTGATTGTTGTGGAGTGTTTCAGTGTGGTTCCAATGCAAATTGCATGCAGACTCTTGGGTGGTGAACTTCAGTGTACTTTATAAGAAATTTTGCTCAAAATGCAGACTCAGAAGAGCAGAATCTCCCAGAGAACTGTTCGTGAACTGTACCTTGGTTGTTACCAAGAGAAATGCTCAAGGCAAAAATACAGCCCATCTCTTTGAGCTCATAAAATAATCCATTCCTTCTGAGGACCTCACTTCCAGATAAACAGTGCTCCAGGGCAAGCAGGAGATGGCTCTTGCACTACTCATCAGTTAGAAGGTCCTTGTGATTATGAGCAGAAGCCAGGATATCTGAGAAGTCCCTGTTGCTCCAAGTACAGTCTCTATTTTTTAGTGGAGAAACCCCACCACCTCTGGCCTCAAGGCTTCAACCCCAAACTCTGCTTGGTGTTATGGGCGGTATCTGACCCAGAGCACTTAGAAATCTCATCTACTTATGACTTATGCTTGCAATCCAGGCAGGAGATGACTCAAAGAGCCTGGTGAGATTTGTTTTGCTGCTATCTAAGAGCCTGGTGAGATTTGTTTTGCTGCTATCTCCTCTGCCTGTGCTCTTGTCCAAGCTCCCCATTCCTGAGCTCTGCCTGCCCAGCATGTGCTGTGGTAACTGACACAGCGTGGGCAGGGAATGAGTTTTGGTTTTAGCAAAAATGGGCAGTTACATCATCTTGCACAACAGGTCCTTGCTCTGTGCCTGGCCTGGGCCAACTGAGTCCTCCCAAGCTGCAAAAATATGGCGAACTTGAAATTGCAGTAATCAAAAAATACTATAGTATGTTATGTATACTAACAACACATTCTAGGCTGCTCCCTGCATAGAATCTCCCAGATGTACCTGGCAACAAGGGAGAGAGAGATTTGAATACTAATGTCAGCTGGAGGAGGGGACCCTTATTAGTATTTTGGCTAATTGCCAGGTTGCCTGCTCTTGAAAAATTTGCCTGTGCTGAGCTAGACATATTTTTCATGTGTAGAAAATTTTATTGAGTGTTGGTAGGGCTTTATATTTTCCTAATGCTTCCTACAGTCAGCTGTGTGAAGGTTCACAGTAGCCATGAGGTCAGAGTTTCTAGGCCAAAGGCCTTTAGGCCTTCTTTGGAAGACTTGGAAAACTGTAGCAGCTGAACAGGCCCAGAAGACATTACAATTTGGAGAGCACCAGATGTAAACTCACAAAATGAAGAAGTATTTTTGTGATTTGTGGGCTCAGGAGGGTGGGTTTTTGGTTTTTGGGTTTTTTTTGCTTGTTTGCTTGATGCCTGTTTTTTTTTAGTAAATACAGATGACTAACTCAGGGCCTCCTTTTCTCCTTCCCTGCAGGCAGAACAAAGTCTCTGATGAGTTGCTTGTTCAAAAGGTTCCCACTGATTTTACCTTTGGGTCTGTTCTAACTTTCTCATTGTTTCATGCAAGCATTTTCTGTGGTAATTAGTCTGTAATAGCATAATCCCTGGTGGCCTTCCTGGAGTGTCTGGACTCTCTGGGTTGAGAAAGCTCTGCTGGGGGGCAACATATTTTTCTCTATGTGGGAAGGGGAAGAGTTGATGTTGTGAATGGTGTCCTGACTGATGGAAAAATCTCTCAAAAGAGGAAAGTTTTGCAGCATTTGCTAGAAATTATTCAGGCTACATTTGTCTGATTTCCTCTGGAAGATCTCAGCAACCAAGATGGTGCGTGTGTATTTTGTCCCTGGCTGCTTCCTTCTGGACTCTGCATTGGGGTCTGCTTTGTCCGTGAGGAATGCAGGTATGTATCTCTGTGATTTGTAGATGCAGTTGCAGGCATTTTTTGTAGCTGGGCACAGACACATTCAGAGCTTTCAACTGGCAGTGGAAGCAGATTAAAAATCCTCTTCAGCTTCATAAAATGCAATGCCTAGAGTAATCTGAACTGTGAGGCCATGAAGGAAAACTAGTTTTTTAAAGGCTTTTTCAAAATGAAGTAGAGATTTGATACTTTATGTTGGTTGCATTTCCTCTAAATGATTTTGACAAACTATGAATATGAATGCCTGGAATTTCAAGTTTTCCCTTTTTGGATATAGCAAAATCAAGACAGCCTTTCAGGAGTATGGCCATAGACAGAGTAAGAACAGACTTGTCCAGGGGAAAAATACAGCCATCCCATGGGAATTAAGAGAACAGAAAGGGCTTGGAAATCCTAGTTTTGGAAGCTCATCTCCAACAAGGGATTTCTGCAACACAACAAACCCTAAAACACTTACCTTACAACTGCAGAAGCAGTTGTAGTGGAGAGGAGTCACTTGGAGTGGGGCTTGGCTGCCTGAGCTCTCATCTCGGGCCCTTGGACACATGCCATGACTCAGTTTCCCTGTGTAAAACAGAAAGGTTTCTCTTGATGGTCTTCATAAAGCTGATTTGAAATCTTTTGGTGAAAAGGGCCATAGTGACTGGGCACTGGTGGCGTGTTCACAGGAGAATCAGAGGGACCCTTGTACAGAACCTGAACCACTTTTATTGCCTAAGCCCTGCTTTATGAATACCCTGAGGCTGAATTTAACTGTGGTTAGTCAGTGTGGTGTCAGTGGTGCAGTGCAGAGCTGCTCACACTGCACCCCAGAGCAATCTCATTGCTGGGACTGGCTTGGAGGCCCAGTCCTTGCTACCTCCATTCAGCCCCTTGTGCTGAGGAGTGGGGCAAGAATGGGGACAAACAGGCTGCTCATCCTTCCAGCCATTCATCCTTCCAGTTTCACCCTTCCAGCCATTCATCCTTCCAGCACTACAGCACACACAGGGCCGGTTTTATGTTATTGACATCTCTGTACTACCTCTGTAACACACATGCAAAGTGAATGGGTTTTTCCCACACTATTTCACCGCACAGTGAAACAGACAAGGATTTCCCATCTGCCACGTGAAGGAATTAACAAGGTACGATTTGAGTATTTCCCTGCTGTTAGTGAAACTTGTAAAGTTCTCCTTCCTGCTAGTTTTTGGCTTGTGAAAGATCTTCCAGCAAGCTAAGTACAAAGAAAATTAAACAAACCAAAACAACACCCTTACAAACGTTGATTCTCGCTTTAATGTTTTATGGGTTTTTTTAGTGAGGGGTGGAAGCCGCTGCTGAGGGCGGGTGGGGTGTGGGGCCGGGCGGGCCCCCTCAGGGGCGGGGCGGCCGCAGCGCGGACTCCAAGTCCCGGCATGCTGCGGGGCGCGGCGCATGCGCGCCGGGCCGGGCTTGAGTGGCAAGTTGTTTGTTCCAGCGAGCACCAGCTGCTCGGCACTCCGGGCTCCGCTGCTCCGCTCCGCGCCCCGCCGGCCTCCCCGCCGCTCCAACTTTTGCACCCTCTGCTCCCTCATCCCCTGCTCCTGCCCCCGGAGCTGGGAAGGGACAGACGGAAGCGGGGAGGGGAAAAAGGAAAAAAGACAAAAAAAAATAAGAAGGCACCGACAATAACAGCCCCCCCTCCCCCTCCCCATTCAAAAACACAACATAAACCCCAGGGATAGATGAACTACAAATGAGAAAGAGGAAAAGATGGAACTGCACATCCTAGAGCACAGGCTCAGAGTGGCCAGCATAGCCAAGGAGAGCATCCAGTTGTTTACCTATGGATTAATCAAACTTGCTTTCCTGTCCTCTAAGACGAGGTAGGTGCTGGGGATGGGGCAGCGGGGGAGGGGGTGTCCCCCTTGCGGGGGGACAGTGCTGGGGCCGATCCCCCTCGCTACGAGGCGGGACTGGGTGCTGGCAGGGCACCCTCCTTCCCTCCGAGGGGCTGGAGTGGGGGGCACTGCCTTGCGAGTGAGCAGGGCAACCCCCTTGGAATTTGGAAAGGGGGTGGGTTGGAAAGGGAGTGGGTTGATGTCTGCTCTCCTGCTTGGGGGGAAAAAAATAAAACAGTGTCCTGGGATGGAGGGGGGAGACAGCGTTGGGGTGGGGGTCACCCTCCTTGCTGCCAAGGGTGCTGGGGTGGGTGATGGCACCCTCCTGCAGTAACTCAGGCTGCTGGGTCAGG